TGTTGTTGTTGTTGTTGTTGTTATAATAAGATCTTATTTCTGGCACTGAAAGCTGACGGCATTTTTGTTTCTATTCTTTTTGTTGTTCGTTGTATCTAAGCATATGGATGACTCGGAAGCTGGCAGCATCTTGTAAGACCTACCCTTGAACTTTTGACAGAACGATGAAACGAAATTTCTTTTTACAAAAAATGTCAATTTTACTCTTGGAAACGGCTTCACATTTTATTTTCGAATGCGGCGATCGTCTATTTGTCTGGGTATGGACCGGCCATCACTTTCTTTACGAAGTCTGAAGTAGGAAAAAAAACATTGTTAAGCAAAATGAACCTTTGTTTGACAAAGACAAACCATTGGTCACAATATTTATTCAGTTTTAAAGATCCTGTATCAAACAAGACAAAAGAAATACAATGTCCAAGCAACCACTGTTTGCAATCAATTACGATCAATTTTATGGAAAAGTTGGTACTTTTAATATGAAGACAGTAATTCATTGGTATCAATATATATTTAATCGATGATAATATTCAAATATCGTGAATAGTTAGAAGTTTGATTTATCGACATTTTTTATATACAAAAAATCTATATTGATATTAAGTGGCTGTATGATGCGCCACCACTACAGAGCCACAAATTATGACAAAGGTATCTGGTTACATACCTTCGTATTTCACGTTTCCTTCAAGATCTTCCTGCAAATCTGTCAAACTGATGATTTCGTCAATTTCTTCGTCTGTCAATCTCTCGCCTTTAAAAAGAAAAGATGGTTGGCATTGTTAAGGCACTTATTCTATCTAGATTTAAGTCAACATCACGACAAAATTGTCATTTTCAAATAATGCTTATCTTCATCTACCAACACCAAGACAATGGGATCTAGTAAGAATAAGTCCTTGACGATGTCCGGCATCAACGTCTGCGATTCAATGTTAGTTAGTTACCCTTTTAATGTTTTGGTTTATGAAGTGCATGGCAACCATGAATTGTCACGTGACAGCAGGACTACATTTGAAAGTGACATTCAGTACTGATTATGATAGACCCACCACGCTGAAATGTCAAAATCTGGACACAAACACAAAACCGAACACATTTGGTGACTAGGAGAAAAGTAGAAACACAGAAAAGATATCGCACGTGTAATGCGGTTTTTAGAGAGAATTTCAACAAGAAAGAAAAAAAGTACATAGGTAAATAGAATTGTTGTATGTTTTCAAAGGAGACACTGACAACAGTAGAGAACAGAAAACATCTAAATATCGCACGTGTTAGTGGTGCGTTGGGAAATAGAACACGTGATTTTGTGATTAGGGAATAAAGAGAAGCAGATTTAGTGGTAAGGGGGGCATTGAGGCAAATTATAGCAAACAGGTCATAAGAAACTGTTTGAGAAAATAAACCCTCATGCTTGGCCAAAAATTGTCTTAATAATATCAGAAATTGTGCAAATGGTGGATTTTCGTGAAGTACAGAATCTCGGCATTCTTACTTATAAATTTAATAAATTTGACATTACTTATAATTTATTCATATTAATATTTTTGTCGTCGGTCATACATGTTTTTGTTTATCCTGAACAAGCATTCATATAGTTTTGAAAGTTATTTAGAAAGACGGTTTCTAGTAGATAATGATTATGAATCTGAAGACACCGATAGCCGTTTCTAAACTCATAAAACTTGAAGTAAGGTTGATAAGACATGTCTTACAGCATATTAAACATGAGGCAGTCTACCTCGAGATTACTGTACATCTATAGGCAGTTTGCACCTTCTCCAACTCAACAATACAAACCATATTAAAAAAAAAAGTACTTACCTAACGCGGTGAGGACGTGCCTAAGCTCGGCCCCGGAGATGAATCCCTGTCCTTCCCTGTCGAAGGTCTTGAAAGCCTCCATGTAGTCGGCAAATGTTCCCTGTTCACAATCCATGAGACCCTCGTAGGCGGGGAGGAATTCTTCGAAGGGAAGGGACTTCTCGCCTGCATTCAAGTAAAAAAGAAATCATTGAAATAATATTTTGTTTTATAAAAAAGGCATGCTTGGTTTGGTTTAATGGTTTTAGCGCCCAATTCACAGCTAAGGTCAATTAAGGGCATATCTCTCTGTGTGTAAGGGGATAAAATGTTCGCCTGCATTTAAGTGAAAATACTCAGGGCGTTGTGATTTTGTTTAATGCAAAAGTGATTGGGTTGTTTTGTTTTGTTGGATTAAGCGTCCCATCAACAGGTAAGATCATTTAACGAAGTAGTCCTTCGATATTTGTAATAAATGCCATTGTAACGTATTATATAGTGACATTAACACGGGTGGTTTCTGTCCGATATTGTTATTTTCTGTGCTGATGACCATTTCAACTTAAGAACATAACCCTTTGGTAACTAATATGGATGGCCTATGGTCATCTGAAAAGTCTATGTTCAAAAGTTGTCTTTAACCCAAAGATGCGTAAGTTTGGAGACTGACCTTCAGTTACCTTAGATATCAAAGTGACAATTTATATGTTTATTACACTTTTTGACATTGATGTCTGTACATAAAAAGGACGTACCCATTTTGTGTGTGCCTCCTACGGCGAATACGTCATCGTTCCTGGGGTTGATTCCCAAACACCTGCACACATCGCCGAGCTTGAAGGCATCGACAGCTCCATCACGACCATCCCAGAAGTCAAAAAGTTCGAAAACGTCCTTCAAGTCTGGAAAATTACGCAAAGCACACATGACACACGATGTTACTTTCATTTTGCATATATATTACATGAACGTATAATGCGTTTCTTTAACTTTATTTTTATTCTATATTCGAGATCTCATTTGCAAAATAAGGAAAAATCATCAATTATGACGTTCGATATTGGTCGTGCCTGATGATTATAAACCATAAAAATGTTTGATTAATAAAATAATTCAATGATAACGTTTGC